AGAAACACCTATCTTCTAGAAGATTAGAATATGTAAGTGATATGTTAATTTTCTCTTAGAATAACATTTCATCAAATTATCCAGTTATTACACTACACGAGTTTTGAATTCTTCGTTTAATGACCGTTTTTGCTTCTCGCCCTTGGTAGACATGCTTATATATTCAGGCTACAGCATCATAAAATATTGTACATTGCAATGTAATAACTCTAAAATGTACTGGGTATTTTCACCACGGCCTTTCTGCGGCAAACTGTTGAATACACTGCGGATATTGCAGGAAAATCGTGTCACAAACCTGTGGTTTTACTGCAAACGAAAGAAGACGAAACATGAGATGGTAAACAAATAAAGCCTAGCTAATTTCACAAGTCGAAGAATGTGAATAAACACGAGAAGCGAATCAGATTTGCTCAATCCCTCGGCCAGTCAAAGTAAAATTGTCCCCAATCAGTTTAGGTGTTAAATAGCCTCTCAAAGTTTTTATTTTGCGAGATCTGACACAAAGGTGTGGGAAGACAATGAACAAAAAAAGCTAAATATCTCTATACCCCCATACAGTACTGCCATCATTCATGCATTGCCTGTAACCAATGCATCACCTAGTTAAACTAACATCTTACCTGAGTGATCCACTGTAATCTTAAGCTTTGATGTTAGTTGTGGAGACCAAATACTTCATAATCTGTCACAGAAAAGTTTTTAGCACCCGTGAAGAACGTGCTTTGCAGTCCCGAAGGACAGTCATACGAGTAGCCAAGATTACTGTAGCTTGAGGTATTTGAGTTTGCATTCCCTGATATATGTAGGTCATGCCATCCGCCAAACGTTGGTCCATAGCTGCCGTCACAGTAGAGGGCATTTTGTTGATTCTTGATGAGAGGCAGTTTAGTTGGTCCCAGTCTATGCGGGTTGACCACGCTAAACAGAAACGCTTGCGGGGATGTTAACCATGAACCAGTATCTGGTGATGTCAATATCTTTGTATTAATATTTAGGTACTTCTGATTAAATAAACATTCTTCTTTTTCTATGATTAAATAAACTATTGACATTTCCTGTCTGTTACAAACAATATTACTTTGCATATCCACCATTATCAGGTGAGTTTGTAGACTCTTTAGTACAATGATTTCAAAAACGACCTATGAGTCGCAAGTCTCGTTGGCTCACAGACTCCCACCACCTCCCACCACCTCCCAGACTCCCACCACTTCCAGTGTCAGGCCCCTTGAGAGGGGGAGGGCGAGGAGAATTCCTCCTCCCCTCTTACTTACTCAACTTACCGTGGCTGTCTGAACGGGATGAAGTAGACAAGAAACTGTTCGATGATCAATACTTGATTTAAAATCAGAAAACTTACCTGGGCTTGTCCATGACATCTCGGTAAAGCCTCCAAAAATGTTGTTTCCACTTTTCACAATGGTGACAGTTGGGCCTTTGTTATTACATTTGGAGTGAAAGGATGCAGCAGCGAAGCCATCACGAGAAGCTCGGAACAGAAGTCGCCATTTGGCGTACCGAGGAGCCAGCCAACCTCTCAACACGCTTCGATGCTCTTCAATCGTCAGAATTACTGACTCCTCGAAATACTTCAGTGTTTTCGGTGTTTTAGGCTTCAGCTCGTCCAGTATCCCTTGAATCTGGTAGAACTTAGCTTCTGCTTCAAGCTCCTTGTGACATGTTGCACCTTCTGGTAATATCAACTCGCCGTTGCGAAGATAATTGAGTATGAACCGGAAGTGAGTTCCGTCTCGGTCGATAAAGAACGTTCCGTCGTCAGAAGGTTTCATCTCAAACTTCCCTGAAAACATGGCTGCCAGCATCGAGTTTGGATCTTTGGTCAGCGTTTGAACGCTTGTTGTGAAGTGATGGCCTCCCACATTGAGTTTTACGGTCGAGGAAAAATGAACATGTTCCAGCTTCTTCGACATGGAGTCGATGGTTTCCTGCTCCTGGCGAAGTCTTGCTGCTTCTCGTTGTAACATTTCGCACGCTTCTCTAATATGATTTTCAGCGTCTGTCAGCACTTGATTACGTGGTTGATCTTTGTTTTCAAGATTTTGGTCGCTCATACTTTCTAAGTTTAACTGTAGCTACAAACGAAATGTTTCTGCCTGTTGACTCACAAAGCAAAGCTAACCTGGTCACGTGATTCGGGGCGAATTCTCGGAAAGCCGGAAGTTTTGTCGAACGAAAGCTGGGGTGAGAAAGATTGCATGACGAACGTGACGAGCCCAAAGAGCGTCTGCACGGGAGGCTAAACAACGAGCGACCCCTCAAATGCAGTTTTTTTTTAAATTTTACTTGTTTCCAGAAACAACAGTAAAAAAGGCACAGAACAAGCGGAACCACTGATATTCGTTTTAGATGTTGTAAGGGTTATCAATGTTGTAAATCCTTTTGTTCTCTATACATTTTGTTATTTATTTATTTATTTATTTATTTATTTATTTTTTATTTAAAAGATCAATCGATCACAAACGTTACATATTTAAGCTACGGTACCCCAAAGTAGGGACCCCTGAAATTTGCGAGCCTTTGAAAGTATCGAGGATCTTTTACTTTAAGGTGGCCGAACACAGTTTTCGCGCGCGCTTTTGCTGATGCAATTCATCGCGCGCACAAGGATTGCAAAAACAAACATGCCGTCAATAGAGCGATCATTTTATTTACTCAACACCCGCACTATCTGTGGTTAACCTTGACTCTTGTAAAAAACGGGCGCCAAAGCATAAATAGTCTAAAAGTAATGGTGAATTAGGCATAGGTACTTGAAAACTGTGTTCGGCCACCTTAAGTAATTTTCGGTTTTTGTGTCAGTGGCAAGCGTAACAGCCTATGCATGAGCAATGACTCTCGCGTCCCGTCCACACTTCACAATTTGAGAACGGAGGTTTCACTCTAAAAACGCTTGAAATGTCTTCCGTCCACATTACGACAACCCACGACGGAGGAATTTAAACTGAACGCCACAATCACCGGTCATTTTGGATTTGTGTTTGAGGAAACACTGGCAGGGGAATCACATGATTATCGTGACGTCATCGTTTTCGAAAAGCTCCGTTTTCAAAATGTTTTTCATCCACACTAAAACGCAAAGCCGGCGTTTCCAAATTCCTCCGCTTTCGAAAAGCTCCGTTTTCGTGACGGATTAGTGTGGACGGTAAGCCTAACCATAGAAATAAAGCTGTGTCCGGCGTAGTGTGGATGGGGGTTCAGCTTTAACTCCATACAATTTTAATGGCTATCATAATACTATTGATCTCAGACGTCTGTTGAAATGTTTTTGTTTTTTTTTTGTTGGTTTCATTCACGGATTCAAAAAAAAGGTGATCACGTGATGACGAATTTCATGACCGTGTGATGTGTGAAATCAGTAAAGCTTTCCTACCGTCGGGGAAGGTGCTTCACAGTTTGTTCGCAAGTTTGTTGAGTTTCGCACTTTCTAGCAAGATACAATTCAAGATATGTTAGAAAGAAGAGTTCGACAGACGCAAAATCCAACACACGGTTAAGATTTGCCTTGAACTTGCTACTTTTGAGATATTTGCAACAACCGTGTTGTAAACTGTAGCGGCTGTAACCAGCTGTACGTGGAAAAAAAAAGCCATTTCAGCAGATCAATAGTAGCACGAAGCAACCTGCATCAATAGAGGCACGCGCATGATCGGAATTTCCCGAGACAATAAACAAAACAGCAAATTGATCGGCCAATTGCGGAAAGGAGAGAAATGAAAAAAGTATACATTTGGGTTCGAAAATTTCCAACCAAAATATCTGACAACCGGCCGTTTTCTTTCAGACGTAAAACACGCAAAGATTTTTGATAGCCGAAGTAAAGAACTTGCAATTCCGGTAATGAACGTCGTGGGGAAAACATGACGTCTGACTTTGCAAAAACCTGTGGATGACAGTTAATAATAAAAAGCTTTCCACTCCAAGTTTTTTGTTTTGTTTTGTTTTGTTTTTTTTGTTTTTTCATTTTTCCGTAATTAGCTCAATCTTCACAGGAAAAGTCTTATTCAAACTTCTTGACAAGATTCAATTTTTAGAAAAATTCCCGGTGATTTAGTTAGTTTTGGATTATCGTTGACGTAATTCCGGGACTTGGGCATGGTATGCTCGCGGGACACTTCGCAAATCTAATCGTCTTTAAACCCTTTTATCAAGACAATATCAAGGTAATTAAGGTATACCTTGATCTTCTCTTGCCTGGTCAAGTCCAAAGCCAAAATAATAGTTTGAATGTCGTTGCCGGTGGTGGCGAAATAGTTTTGGCGCAGTAAAATATTAAACATTTCTTCGTGGATAAAAGCTCTCTATGAAGATGTCGGTCCTATTGCCACTGAAGTCACCATTAATAGCACGCTTGGCATTTATGTGTCTGTTTTATCAAATAGCCGGCTCAAGTGACATCCAATATTGTGTTCGAATATCACTGCTAATGAACTGCGTTTATTATTGCATTACAACATTTTTTATTTATAAAGAAGATCTTAATAAAACCTTGTTTTATGCTCCCTTTTTACCTATGATGGTTCGATTGACACGCTGGAATCATTCTAAACACTTATATAGCAAGGTAAATAACAAACTTATTAACTTTCGTTGAATCTAAATGAGCAGATGACATAAGGATTTTTCAAGTAAAAAGAAGAGAAAATTAACGCTAGATTATTACTTACTTTTAAGCTGAACAAGTTATACATTAAATAAAATTGAGAACAAACTTACATATCTAGATNGTTTGCATTCCCTGATATATGTAGGTCATGCCCTCCGCCAAACGAGGGTCCATAGCTGCTGACACAGTGGATGGCATTTTGTTTATTCTTGGTGAGAGGCAGTTTAGTTGGTCCCAGTCCATTCGGGTTGACCACGCTAAACAAAAATGCTTGCGAGGATGTTAGCCATGAATCAGATCCTGATGATGCAAATATCTTTGTCTTAATATTTAGGCTCTGGTTAAATAAACAGTCTTCTTTTTCGTCAGTTAAATAAATTATTGACATTGCCAGTCTGTTGCAAACAATATAACTTTTGCATATCAGGTGACTTTGTAGCTTCTTAGTCAGGAATGATGGTTTTTATTCTGTAACAATTTCAAATACGACCTATGAATATCGCATGTCTCGCTGGCTCCCAGTTTATCACCACCTGATTCTAGGCACCAGTTTGTATTAGGCTCCTTGAAACGGGGACCGGCGGAGAGAGTTCCTTCTTCCCCTCTCCTCCTCTCCTCTCCTGATGCTCAAGTTGACTTACCACTTGCCCATTACACTTCGGTGAAGCCTCCGAAATCATTGTTTCCTGTTTTCACAATGGCGACTATCTGAATTGGATGAATTACAAGGGACACTGTTTATTGATTAAAACTTTGAAATCTGTAAACTTACCTGGGCTTGTCCATGACTGTTCATTGAAGCCTCCAAAAATGTAGTTTCCACTATTCACAACGGTGACAGTGGGCCCTCTATTATCACATTTGGAGTGGAAGGTTGCAGCAGCGAAGCCATCTCGAGAAGCTCGGAACAGAAGGTGCCATTTGCCCTCCTGAGAAGACAACCACACTTTTAACACCCTTCGATGCTCTTCATTCGTCAGAATCACCGAGTCCTCGAAATTCTTCGGCTTCAGCTCATCCAGTATCCCTTGAATCTGATAGAATTTAGCTTCTGCTTCAAGCTCCTTGTGACATGTTGCACCTTCTGGTAATATCAACTCGCCGTTACGAAGATAATTGAGTATAAACCGGAAGTGAGTTCCGTCTCGGTCGATAAAGAACGTTCCGTCCTCTGAAGGCTTCATCTCAAACTTCCCTGAAAACATGGCCGCCAGCATCGAGTTTGGATCTTTGGTTAGTGTTTGAAGACTTGTAGTGAAGTGGTGGCCGCCGACATTGAGCTTAACAGTCGAGGAAAAGTGAACATGTTCCAGCTTCTTCGACATGGAGTTGATTGCTTCTTGCTCCTGGCGAAGTCTCTTTGCTTCTCGCATGAAGATCTCGCATGCTTCTTTGAAGTGACTTTCTGCGTCTTCCAAGCCTTGGTCTTCACATCTAACATTTTGAACACTCATAGTTTCTTCTAACAAACAAACGACACACTGAAATCTCCAAAATGAAGAATAGGTTACCGACTTAGCTGAAGTAAACTAAGTCACGTGAGTCGTGACGTGATCAGAAAGTGAAAGTGGAGTAGTCATTTAGAGCCAAGGGCTGCGGAAATTTCAGTTGAAACGTAAATGGAGCAGTAATGTTATGCCATATCCCATCGAAAGTGTAGACTACCTCCACTAGTACTCCTCTTTTTCGACTTTTTCCGTTCGTAAAAGAAAAAAGTCCGGCATTTCGTTACTATTTGCTAAATTCCCCGGTTTCCGGTCTCTTATCAACAGAAAACAATATGAGTGAGGG